GCCACGCTGTCCTCTACGGCACCTGCAGTGTCTCCTCCTACCTGATCCCCTGGCAAGAGCCACATGCAGGCCAAGTGCCAGCCGGCCTTCACGGGGACAATTCAGCCTATGGCCCTGACCCCGAGGAGGCAGCGATGTGAATTGGGTGGAGAATCTCAAAGGCAGAGAGAGATTTTTTCCTTTTCCCTTTTTATTTCTTACTGCAAATGCTTCTGATTTGCCCACTGCCAGGTTGGGTCTGTTTTACATTTTAACAATGTATGTGTTTTGTTAAAAGACCAGAGTGTGTAGGAGAGATGCTTTGCTGAGTCAGGCAGTTGGAAGTAGGTAGCAACATAAAGGCTTGGTGTCACTGAGATGTGGATGTTAAGACCAGAAGCAATCCCCAGCTTCACAGAGCTGCCCTGCCCTGTGGGTACAAACACATCCTGGTGGCTTGCTCCCCTGCTAACACTGCCACAGACAGCCAGATAAGCGGTAACTCACGGATCACACACACACAGAGACACACAGACACAGACCATCTCTGTCAGTGCTTTTTATATCTGTAAACTACGTGCTCTCATAACTCACAGGCATATATGCACAGGTCACTATGAAAATTCTGAGACGCACTGTGCTATGGCCCATTATCTCAGGCCCCAGAAACAGTGTCGGCAGCATCCTTTCTGAGTCCCCTAAGCCGGTGTCACATTGCTCAGCGTCTTGGTGTGGCTGGGAAGGCTTCACGTGTTTCCATCCATGCGGGTTTATGTTATCTCAAAACTTTTGTAATGACCCACGTACATACTTGTTTGTGCACATCTATCCATACACACTTGTACACACACACAGATACAGACAGGGACATATCCACAGAAGAGTGTCCTTGGGAGAGTTCATTTTCGTCATCACACAGAGTTACACACACACACCTCACCACAACACCTCAGCTGGATAGTGTCCTTGTGAGGAACCTGCAGCTTTGAAAAGGATTTGCTCTGTGAAATTTGGATTTAGTCAAAGGACACACTCAGGGATCCAGAAGGCCGTAT